CACTGCGTGGCGTGGGAATGAATCCCCTGTCTGGGGGAACCTGCTCAAGCAAGATCTTCATGGTGAAGGACTGGCCTTCCCACCTCTGCTTGTTACTCATCAGGACAAGCTGCTGCTGGCCAGAGGAAGCAGCTTCTCACAGGTTGAGAGGAGTTGAAGCTGTAGTTGTCCGGCAGTCACTTTAAAGAGGAAGAAAGGATGGGGGGGCGGGGAGTAAAAGAGAATAAAGCATTGCCTTCTCAGAATTTAAGCCAGGGACTCCAGGAGAGAATTACCAGCAGCAGAGATGTGGGAGCAAAATAGTCCCAGTGGCTACTTGCCTCTTGCAGCTAGAGTCTTCTCTGGTGCCCAAAGCTTTCCATTTTCACCAGCGAGAATTACCAGCAGCAGAGATGTGGGAGCAAAATAGTCCCAGTGGCTACTTGCCTCTTGCAACTAGAGTCTTCTCTGGTGCCCAAAGCTTTCCATTTTCACCAGTAACTAAATTAGGATCTTGGATTCCAAAGTCATAAAAATGAACAATGTACCCAGCAGTCAAAGCAAGCAATGCTTTATTAAAAGAAGAGACAGACTTATATGCATAAGGGGAGTAGTGACAGTAAAGCTAGCCTCCCAAGGGGAGCTGTCCAGGGTCTTTCTTTTATAGGGAAAGAGTTAAGGGGTACAGGCCAGTGTCACTGGAGGTAGTCCATTCTGATCTTCCTGGTTGCGTCATGGGTGCATGCTCAATAGGTCCAGTATTGTGGTGGTGTTCATCATTGTCACCCTAGGAGAGTCATTGTAACAGTCACCTTGAAGCTTTATGCACAGGTGGGAATTCCTAGAGGGGTCTTAAGGTTAATCTGTAACTTAATTTTTACAATTACAGTAAACAAGCCTTGGGGGAGGAGGGGTTTTGCACCTCAGAGAATATCTGTCTCCTCTCTTATCTCAGTCTATTTTATCAGGGGGACTATGGGGTAATCACTTGCCCTGGGGGTCTCATGACTGAACAGTGGAAAAGTAACAAAGTGTCCTCAGCAGGGAAGAGTCAGTTTGGTTCACAGGCCTAGCCCTACTCTGTTTCATCTCCAGAGGAGACTAGCATTTTGAGCACAAGGGTGTTCAATTTGCATTTGGTCAGATGGTTTCAAATTGTTATTTCCCTCTGTGAAGCTTTGAAATAAATGATGCTTTTAGTAGTTACATATGCAAGAAGACAATATTATCTGCGTTTAGAGCTGGTTTTAAATTTGGGTAGTGGCAGTTTTCTTACAGGACTAATTTTAAAAGGAGAAGAAAAAGTCAAGATGAAATTGTAAATTTCTGGGAAAGCTACAGTGATCTCCTTTAATGTCATTTGTTTCCGTGGCAACAGAAGGCCTGGAAAGCCTTCTCCCAACCTAGGGAATTACTATTCCCTGCCTATTTTTATTTACCTGATGGAAGTGGTCTCAACTAGTGCTTTTATACCTGCCTGCACATGTGCAGATCTGCCACACATGGAGTCTCTTGTCTGTACCTGGAGTTTCACCAAAACAAACTCTTCCAAGTTGAAATTAGTTCTGTTTGGCTTTTTCCATCCTTCTGTATCATCAAATCAAATTTTTTAAAGTGTATATCACAACTATGTACTTTTGAATGGTTTGGCCACAATGTACCACTTAAATCATGAACAGTTCTCTTTGAGGGGCTCTGTGACATTGTTTTGGCTCTCAAAGACCCCTAAAGGGGAGGTGTAGAAGTTACTAAAAATGAGGATGATATATTCTCATTTTGATTGAGCCCTGGACCCTAACCTACTTTTTCTGTATCCTGGGGCGGCCCCATCCCCACATGGCATAGCAGACCTCTTGAGTTACCTTCTTAATTTAAAAAAAATCTATTATTAAGTACAGAAGTAATTGGTTAATACAGCCTTCTTGTAAAAGATTCACAGATATGGTTAAAAACTCCTTATTAGCACCACTCCTAATACAGGTCTGGGCCCCTTTTCCAGAGAGGAGTTCTTTTATCAATGTGGTAACTAAAGTTCATTCATTCTCCTGCTGTTAGATTTCTGTTGTTTCTGTCTCATTTTCATTATCAAAAACAGTGCTATAAGGAGCATCCTTGTACATGCCTACTTTTCTGAATTACCTTTAATCTGGGATAATAAAAGACAACCAGAATTTTCCGTTTTTGAGGGGGTGGGGGTTGGTTTGGGTTTTTTTTTTTAATAATTATTTTTATGTGTTACATTATACAGCTGTATACCCCCAAGTGAATCAGATACTATATCTAGTTGTGTTCAACTTGCTCCTTAGGATCCGGAAAGTATGGCAGAGAAGGAAGTGCGCCATTAAGAATGGGATTCTGACCATCTCCCATGCCACAGTAAGTGCACCTACCCATTTGTTAAGATTCTGGCCTCGTGGGCCAGAAGCAAACAAAGTGATGTAACCAGCAGTAAAATTTCACCAGAGTATCTTTAATATATGTATGTGGGTCAGATGATTTAGGATATTCTTTACAAAATAATTGGTTTTATCTTGTTCCGTGGTGGCCTGCATCATTCTGTGGTTCCACCAGAAACTTTTTTTTTGCTCCCTCAAACTGAATCAGGTATTGTTTATAATCTTATCTTTTGGGAAATATTATTGGTTATTGTTCTGAAAAACCTATTTTTCTGAATTACGAAGATGACAGGATGTTCTTTGCATGAAAAAGTAATGTAGGAAACAATCTAATATACGGCTCTGATGCATGCTGTATCCTCCTTGCCGGCTCTGGTAAAAGTGTTCAGTGCTACTGCTTGTCAAAGAAAGCCCACTAAAATAAGTAATTGCTATTTTTGCCCTTTTAAAACTAGTAGAAAATTATTTTTAATTCTTGAAGATGCAAAGATTATAATGTAAAACGCAAGCAGGAATAGAAATGGCAAAGTAAATATACCAAGAGTCTTTCAAAATGTGCATGCAATATAACCTAGTAATCTCAGTTTGGAGAAAAAGCTCATTGTTAAATCGCTTGTAGTATCCTGTGCCAAGTGATGTCCTTGAGTTATGATAAGCAGTTAATTGCTACCAGGATAGTAGAAATGAGGGATGTGCATTTATTACATTGGCAATTTTCATCACTCACAGCTGAGTTTAGATTTCTCTTTATCAAGGAAGAGGGGTAGTACCACTTACCTTCATAAAATTTATTTCACTTGGGGCCGGCCTGGTGGTGCACTGCTACAGTGCGCCGCTTGGGAGCACGGCAGCGCTCCCGCCGAGGGTTCAGATCCCACATACAGACAGGCCGCTCACTGGCTGAGCGAGGTGCAGGAGCAACACCGAGGGTTGCGATCCCGTTGCCGGTCCCGGTCCGGTATGGGTGCGACACTGAGGGTTGCGATCCGTTACCGGTCACGAAAAAAGACAAAAAGGAAAAAAAAAATTTATTTCATTTGATCCTCCCAACAACCCATGTCGTATTATAACCTTCATTTTACAGATGAAAAAACTGAAGCACAAAGATATAACTTGGCTAGTAACTGGCAGAGTCAGAAGTTCAGACTTGGGTGTGTCTGATGTTAGTTCATGTGGCCCTTGTATCTCTCTTCCTGCAGAATCCCTAATCTTAGTGTAGACTACACATGGGCGCTTATCTGGTCCTGTTTGTCTTTCTGTCTTCAGCCCCTTACACAGAACTTGACACACAGAAGGCGCTTAGTTCATACTTGTGGCCGAGTCCTTCTTGGTAGATGATTGCATGCATCTTAAACATTGCTGTTCTTTATGAAACTTGAGCAGTTGCATTGTCTCTGTCCCTTGCCCCCTCAGAATCCTTGTGGTGATTCCTCAGAGGTCTTCAGTTTCCTTTAGACACCCCAGCTGAGATTTTTAACTTATCATGTTGTGACTAGCTATCCATCTCCTGTCAGAAATTCTGCCCACAGACTTGGGTCAATTAGTAATCATCATTGAGGCTAACAATTATTTATTTATTCAGCAATCTTTATTAAGCTTCCACCTGCCATGTGCTGGTCGAGGCTTCAAAGATACATGGGTAGAAAATAAGATACTTTTGACCTGCTCATATTTAATTCCTTATACAATTACCTGTGTATACTAGATTGAAACTTCTGACCATTTGTCTATATAGATTATGAGGTGTTTTTGTTTGTTTTTTGTTGTTGTTTTTGTTTTGTTTTTTTACTGTGTGTCCCCTAACTCTTATCTTCTGCTAGAGAGCTGTTCCCTTGGATTTGTTTGGCTATAACAATCTTCAGTAGGCATTTTGACCAGTTATATAAAGGCCTTGTGTTCTATTTGCTTTTGTTAGGAATCTGCTGTGGAAGGCAGTGCAGTGTGATGGGGATCACGTAGTTGAAGTGAATCAGTGGCACTGCTTACTAGTTAATATGACCTTGGGCAATTTGCTAAAAATAAAAAATAAAAGTCCTCTTTTCCCTCCCTTTTCTTTCCTGCCAAAACACATTACTGTGGCCAAACCAACTGTTTATATGCATTCTTAAGGCTCTAACAACAGATATCACATTGGCTACATTGTTTAACTAAGAGAATGGACTGTGGCATCTGTCAGATTTGGGTCTGAATCCCAGCTTTGCCATTTAGTATGTGACTTTGAGACAAGTATTTGACTCATAAAGATTATACAAAATTAAGTGAGATAACAAGCCAAGTGTGGGCACTCAGTTAATAGTCGTTATTGCTATTACTGTTAGCTCATTGGATATTGTTGAGGATAATGAAATCTATTGACATGCAGCCCCTTTTGTCAGAACTCTCCTGCCCTCAGAGCAGCCCAGGGGAAAATGGGTTCCTCCCCCTAACTTCTGATTCCCTCACACTGATTTGTGTTGTTCTGCTCCCACTTTTCATTGGCTTTCAGCCGGATGTTTTTGCTGCCAGTTAAATTACATCACTTGTAAATACATTCCTGCCCCACAAAAAGGTCTTTTAGCTGGCTTTTCCTGACTTTGCAAACACCATTGATTACTTAGAATTAGGTTGAAAATCATCAGTTTCCTGGGAAAACAGAAAAGGGATTCAGTGGTTTTTGAAAGAGTGGGAAAAGAGCCTTTGTTGTCAGAAAACTTGGGGCCTTTGGAACCCCTTTACACATGAAAATTCCTCTGGCGTGAAGGGCCTCAGTATTTGTCACCTTTGCAAATTGTTCTTTTTCACAGTGATTCAGGAGAGGGCCAAGTATGCATTTAGATTAATGGTACAGTGTCTGTTGGCTTGATTACCTGTACAAGATCTGTTCCAGGGGCCGTTCATCTCTCCAACTTACTATTCTAGGGAGAAATACATTTCTGTGTACACCTGAAAGATTCGCAGCCCATCCCCAGAAGACTTCATCCACGAATTTATTGCTTTTCATGTATCTGTTCAGACACACATTTTTAAAATTTACTATTCAAAGTAATGCAGTACTGTGAAAACCAAATTCAGTGGGAATCTCTAAATTTGCTATTACAGTAGGACATATTAATGTTAGTAGCTTTCAACTATGGACTATCTAGTTGGTTCTAAACACACTAATAAGGTGCTTTCATTTCAAAACAACAGTTCTGACAAACCTACAGCAAACATCTTAGCCTCAAAACTTAATTATAAAGAAGGTTACATTAAGCCATTACACCATTATAGATTTCTATGCCTTTGAATTTTTTGCTTTTCCTTTTTTTAAACTAAAAGCATTATAGTATAAATAAATATAATAAAACAAATTACAAAAGAGAAAAATAAGAATTACAATTGAAGTATTACTTTATTGAAATAATGTTGAAAATTAAGTTCAAAAGTATAAGAAACTGTGCTCTTTGAAAACCCTGACTCCCTGAATGTATTAACCTCAATGTCACATACTGTTCAAATAATGAGTTAAAAAAAGAGAGCTACCATTTATTGAGCATTTAGCGTGTGCCCTGCACTTAATCTTCAAGACAGCCCTACAAGATAGGTGTCACTATCTTCATTTCTCACGGGTCTGGAAGTTCCTAGGGAGTAAGTTCCATCTCTTACTCATCTTTGAATTCCCAATATCTAGCACGTTGCCTGATGTGTAGTTAGTAAACGATGAATACTTTTAGAAACTGTGTTTTATAGATGAGACTTAGATTAATTTCCATGCCCAGGGTCATGTAGTTTGTAAGCAGCTGGACCAGTTTTCAAATCCCAAAGCCTATGCTCTTTCTACTATATCATAGGCATTTTCTGAGATTGGCAGATTATTGTTAGGTCTTTGAAAGTTTCATGAATAATAGTTCTTTGGAATGAAACTCCTTACCTTGTCTTCGAATCAATCACCGGATTTTAGGGTAGAGAAGGTAGTAAGGGATTCTGGGAAGGAGAAGGGGAAGTACTGGTTATGAAGGTATTACAAAGGTTCTAGGAATTTAAATTTGAATTTGAAGATTGCCTAATATCTTACATTTTTCTAATGCCTGCAGATGCCCTTATAATTAACACCATAACAGTTATTAAATTCACAGTTTCCTTTTTTTCAATCATCCAACACTAAAAGTACTTTTAATATCAAGCAGAAGTCCACCAAGAAGGTTTGGTGTTTTACTAAACAGGTTGGGAATCCAGCTGGACTACAGCAGGTGGAGCCTCTTTAGATGATGTGTGAGTCCACCTGCCATTAAGTGCCCATTCAGCTTCTTGCTGTATGTGCCTTTTATTAAGCCACTTAAGTTGTACTCCTCATTTGTAAAATGGGATCATAGTACCTTTCTTTCAGTGTTGTGAGAAGTAATTAAAATGATGTATTTAAAACTTTATAGAGCCAGGGCCACAGTAAGTATTCCTTAAGCTTAATAGTTATTATCGTCTCAGTGAGCTGAGGTGGAATCACAACATCCAGAACCCTGGAGATTGCCTGGGTTTGAATTCCAGTTCTGACACCGAATCTCTAGTGAGGATTTTTCCATCTAAATAAAATGGGGTTATGGGCCGGCCCGGTGGCGCACTGCTACAGTGTGCTGCTTGGGAAGTGCGGCGGCGCTCCCGCCGAGGGTTCGGATCCCACATACAGACTGGTTCCCGCTCACTGGCTGAGCGAAGTGCAGGGAGCAACACCGAGGGTTGCGATCCCGTTGCCGGTCCCGGGCCAGTACGGGCGCGACACTGAGGGTTGCGATCCATTGCCGGTCACAAAAAAAGGNCGTTGCCGGTCCCGGGCCGGTACGGGCGCGACACTGAGGGTTGCGATCCATTGCCGGTCACAAAAAAAGGAAAAAAATAATAATAATAAATAAATAAATAAATAAATAAATAAATAAATAAATAAATAAATAAATAAATAAATAAATAAATAAATAAATAAATAAATAAATAAATAAATAAATAAATAAATAAATAAATAAATAAATAAAT